AGTGATAAGCGTGGTACGTAGGTTGTAATGCTTGTATCGCCTTTAATTTGTGCTCTCGTGTATGTAACTCCCCAGTGTGTTTTAGTATGATGTTCGCTTGATGTTTAGTTAGGAGGACAGACGTCTGACTGATTTCCGTGGACTTAGCATAGTTTCGCGAACACGTTGGATATTCTACGGTGAACAAATCGTATGCGTAAGATTTCATTTGGCAATAGTTTTCTGGATAACACATAGCAAAAGTAACCGTTTGTGGATGTTTTGCTGGTGAACCCTTTATTTATTTACATCCCAAATAAGTTTCAATAATAAATACTTTATTCGATTGAAACAGCGTTCTGCATAATCGCATACATAGCCGTTATTACCAAGTGGCAGTACTACTTTGTCATAAACACCTAACACACAATGGCTACTGGACATCACAACCCCACGCAAGCAAGTATGATAGAGGACATGGAACTTTCTTTATCTTGTATGTGATTAGAAAAATGCAATGGTAAATTATTTATCTATTCATAGGCAGAATGGTAATGTGAATTATAAATCTATTTTAAAAAGTTTTTAATTAGCCACAAATACATGCTGTCTTGGATTTTAGTATTCAGTCTTATCAACCGGCGTCCACACTTTTTTATATCTGCATCAATTTAGCTGATGGGAATTACGATCACATAAGATTGTTTGTGCGGTGTGGCTGTTCAAGTTTCTTCGTGATTGATTTTTTCATACCCTTATTGGAAACGTTGAAACCTACATGTAAATAATCATCCTTTTTACTTTCTTCCAGGCATTTCGTTGATTATGTTTAATAATTCTTTGTTAATTTTTCAACCAATTTTCTTTTACCTATATTGACGAAATATTTTAAAAGTTAGGATGCATATATGTATTTTAGATAGCTCGTGACTTGTAAGCCAAATGTTCAACTGCCAATCTTAGTCACAGTTTGCGGCTGTCCTCAAGGGATGTTCACTTTTTTCAGGTCAACATCGTTTTAGTTTTCTGCTAGTCTATGACTAACGTTAGCGCTCTTCCCCTATAACTTGAAGGCGGTTTGCGTTGACTTGTTTATTAGATATTTTTTAATACTTTCAGTATTCTTATTCTAGTGGATTCTATAAATAGTGGGCAGCATTACGATTCCTTAATCGATTTTCTATGTACTCTTCAAGCGCCTGGTTCCTCGTCAAATATAGGTGTCTGTGCTTTATCGATTTGTTTCTGATTGGCACAATTTTGTTTTGTCCTTCTTTCCAGTTTTTGCATCATTAAGTCCAGGAAAAGTGGCATCCACTTTGATTGTTTTATTATTTATTTTTCAAGACTTAGCAAAATGCTTCGCACATTTTCGTCATTTGGAGTCGCCCACACATAAGGTGCAAGTTCGTAAGGACGACTATGCTAACATTTTATGAAGGGAATGTAGTGTGCAGTTGTAGTGAGTCAGGACATCTGAGCTCCAGAATTGGCAAGTCAACTGATATTTCAGCTTTGTTCTCTCTTTTGACTATCTTGCTCTTGGTATGAAAAATGTGGGTATAAAGTTTTCATGTGATTTTGGCGATATTACCTTTTCGATCCTATTATCACTCATCTGCTGGGCAAAGTTGTCAACCAGGTGGCTTATCTATGTGTGGGGGGTTGTCGTTTCATCAGTTTATCTATATGTATGAATCTAACTTAATGTGTCAAGGTACTTTTGTAGACAGTCTTTTTACATTATTACCGTCTTAACTATTGTTTTCTAGCCATGGAGGTTACATATTTGTCCAGAGGAGTAAAATATTTCTAATTTCTAATTGGGGTGTGTGATAGACTTACCTCCACGTGGTGCACCCTGGGCAACGTATACTCATACGGCAAAAAAGTCTATTACCTGGCAGTTGACTTCAAACTACCATGACCCCACTGTATGTCATATTCGACTACTTTCACAGTACTCATCTTACCTTTTTTATGCCTTTGTGTCTGTCTGTCTCTTTTACATCTGTGAATTACTCTTCTGTTCCCCTCTTGATTTTTTGTCACTTTAATGTTCCTTCTCCTCTCTGTGAAGTCAGCTCCAGGGCTAATGATAACTTTCAAAACGCCTGCCATTTGATATAAATAAATAAATGTTCTAATAATTAACATTTTTATGACTCGTAAGATGCTAGTGGTGGCACAGCCATGTACTGGGTATAACCAATTTACTCTCCCACAAGATGAGTACAAACTACTCAGGCTTGGGGTAATAAAAGCAAATGCAAACCAAGGCCATGTTTTTCAAATGCCGTTCCAGTGAAACTTGCCTCTCAATGTTTGACCATATGAACAAATATTCTAAGACACGGTGATTTGGATATGAGTATCATTCTTAAGTCGACAAATTTGTCCAGTTTGTCGATCTAGTGGAATTACATATGAAGAAAAGCCCTGTTGCCTATTGGGGCTCCTGAAGCCCTGTTTGTGGCTTGCAGTGCGTTACGGCGCCTAACCTGCAAAACGCCATTCCACGATTAAATGCATGAGAAGAAATTAAGAAAGAAGAGATTTTCTGTTTTCCAACGCCCTCTATACTATTTTTTCCAATTACACACCCCCTTATGCAAATAGAGCCATTAATGCGACCCATGTTGGAGTAAAAGGGAAAAAAATATAGCATGAATAATGCTCAAAAAGGTTGATTGGTAATTCATTTCAGTGGTACAAGAAAATTACCATTAAGAGGGATGCAAGTTTTGCATTATTTAAACGAGCATAATTTATCGGCCAGGTTTCTTCCTCAGTTAGATAAATGACTGCGACATATCAACAGAATGTACCGTTCCACTCTAGCTGCAATAGGTCAATAATTAAATTTTCGTCTTGTTTCCAAAATACGTTAATTCAGCAAACATAATTGTGAGCGAATGCCTGACAAAAATCGATAAATCAATGCATTCTCAACGCCAGCGCTGTACTATTAAAGCAACAAACTGTTATAACTATTGCGGTCATATTTCCCGACACTTCAAGTACTGTCAAAGAAAGTGAGAAATTAAGGATGAATTGGAGCCGAATTGATTATAATCATCGTGAAATTATGCTAAAACTCCTAACAGTCTCTCTCAAACGCTCGATTAATCAATAAATAAAATTCCAGACAGACCAATTTAGACCCCATCCCTCAAAGTAAAGACACAATTACCGCGTGTCTACTAGTCTTACAAATATAAAGATAATAGTAGACTAATTTTAGGAAAATATTCCCATGTTGCACAAACCATTTGCAACAGTTTTGTCGGGATCCGTTGTGCCTCCACCCATTCCGCCTGCGACAGCAGCCAGCGCAGCAACTGCTTTCAGTGTCTGCAAATTACCCGGTCCAAGTCCATCATCATCATGATCCCTAGAGGACTTTCTTTTGAGGGCGTCAAAGAACCGTCTCTTCAAATTCCCGCCAAATCCAACCCCCTCCTCATCTTCCTCCTCCTCGTCATTTTGACCACAGATTTC